ATATATATATATATATATATATATATATATATATATATATATATATTTATACACATGTACATACACACAACTTCAAAATAACATAAATTCTCAACCTGTACTGAAAACAGTTTCTGCGTCTCAGCGCCACCAGCTGGTGAGAGGTGGTGACGTCAATTTGAACCCCGCCCACTGGAACCGGTACTGAAAGCATAATGGAAACACAACCTGTACCGTACCGAGTAGAGTAGAGCCGTGCTGTACCGGCCCGTACCGGTACTAATGGAAAAGGGGCATTACTGATTTGCTCCAGCCGTATGTCCCACCACGTTCTCTCAGATCAGCAGACCAGTTGCTCCTAACAGTCCCAGGAACCCGTCTCAAGCGCAGAGGTGACAGGGCCTTCTCTGTAGCAGGCCCAAGACTTTGGAATGAGTTACCTCTGCTCGTTAGACAGACCCTCTCCCTCACAGTTTTTAAATCTCGCTTAAAAACACTTTTATTCCCTGGCTTTCTGCACTGTGTGATCTGTGCTGAGTCTGTGTGCATCACACTGTGTTAGTCATGTTGCGGTTGTTGTTGTTATCCATTATTGTTTTTGTTGGTTTCTACTTTTTGGTGTCCTGTTATGTAATCTGTTGCTATGCGCTTGTTCTGTTTGTCCCTGTACAGCACTTTGGTGTGCTTTGTCACTGCTTAAAGTGCTTTATAAATAAATTGGTATGATAATTGGTATGGTATGGTAAAATTGTCCCTAGGTGTGCATGAGGAAGTGAATGGTTGCTTGTCTCGTTTGTCTCTATGTGGCCCTGTGATGGACTTGCGACCCGTCCAGGGTGTACCCCGCCCCTCGCACAGTGATTGCTGGACATGGGCACCAGCGACCCCCGTGACCCAAAATGGAATAAACGGGTAAAGATAATGGATGGATGGATGGACACAGAATGAAACACTGGAGCTGCATCATGATCACTTATGATACGCTCTCTTTTATTACTTTATCTACCCAAGAAAAATATGTGCTGTATGTTAGGCGTATATTAGTACACATAAGTCACAATTTATACCTTACTTGCTCACAGCTCAGTACCAGTTTAGTACTAGAGGAAAAAGAAACAGATGACAAATGCCTTTTTAACCCTCCTACTGCCCTTGGATCAAAATGACCCACAAGGCCGCAGTTTTTGGGTCATTTTGACCCAAGGGAAGCCGTAGGTTAAACAAACAATAACCCTCACAAAGTTAAAGACTCAAAGACATTGGGCCAGCTTTATGGTGGAATGTCAAAGTAAAAGTTGCATTTGTCAACTGCCCATTACATTTCTCTATTAAAAAATAAAAAAATCTTATTGTTGTGTCTTTTCATCCACTTGTGGTTGTAAATGGTGTACTACATGCCAGATCTAAAGGTTTCAAACTAAAAGTTTGAACAAATCTAAAATTGAAAAAAAGTATGTTTTATTAAGATAATAGGACAAAACAATTGTTTTGTTTTTATTACAATTAGTGACTAAACTTGACGCAAAATTAAAGGCATAACTTAATAATACATTCTCATGAAAATACAAAATCAATAAAATGTTGAACACTATAGTGTGCTGTTCATATGTGGGTGGGGTGTGTTGTTTAAAACCTGGTGGCACATTTAACGAGACGGGGATGCAGACAGCATCCCTTCCACTGAGCCAAAGTCAACTCCCGTCAGATCTTGTTGAAATTATGGCATAATTGATCCTCAAAAATATGCACTCCACAACCACACAAACTAGTTCATCCAACCATCTACTATCTTAACCCACTTCTTCCTTTTTGGATCGCACGGGTCACTGGTGCCCATGTCCAGCTATCACTGTGTGAGCAGCGGGGGACACCCTGGACAGGTCTCCAGTCCATCACAGGACACGAGACAAACAACCATTCACTTTCTCACACTCACCGAGGGACAATATAGAGTTACCAATCAGCATAACATACATGTTTATGGTTTGTGGGAGGAAATTGGAGTAGCCAGAGTAAACCCAAGCAGCACAGGGAGAACATGCAAACTCCACCCAGAAAGACCCTCAGGCCAGTTCAATTGTGAAATTAGTGAGACTTAAGCCCCCAGTATACTCCCGCATACGTCCATACATGGAGGTACGCACATACGTACGCGGAGGTACGAGCGTATCCCCCAGGGCATGTCCATAGGCTGCGGGAGGGTCTGGAGATTTCCTGGTGCGCTGGTCTGATATGTGGGCTGCGCAGAGCCAGCGCTCCAAGTTTTTTTTTAAAGATCTTTTTATTAACAACATATAAACACAGAACACCGCGGCTGAGGCTGCCAGCGCTCATTTTTTTCTGACCTGTCAATCAATCCAATAGGCGTGTCAGCAAATGACCAATCGGCAACCTCAATTTATCCCAAAGGTAAATGCCCCTTGTCTGTGGAGCTGCTCTGCAGCTGCTCATGGTGTACGCTTGAGTATGAAGTCTGAACCCTCTGCGTACAGTACAGTACACGCGTACGTACGCATAAATGGACGTACGCGGCAGTATATTGGTGGCTTAAATCTAAGTATGCCAACTAATTGATGAGCACATTTTTCTCTCTTGATAATGTTAACTATATCTATAACTATGTGTCAACAGTGGAGGCTGTGAATGAGTGGTTAGAGCAGTCGTCCTCCAATGCAAGAGTTGGGGGTTTGACTCTACCAGCAGTCACATGCTGAAGTGTCCCTGGGTAAGACACTGAACTCCTCATTGCCTCTGATGTGTGTCCCATCAGTGTATGAATGTGATAAAGCTCTGATTATTCATTGTATATATATATCTAGTAGAGTGCTGTATGAGTGAGTAAATGAGGACACAGATTGTGTCGTAAAGAGCTTTGACTATCTTGATAAGATATAAAAGCGCTATATAAGTGAAGTCCATTTACCATTTATACCCCCCCCCCCCCCAAAAAAAATAAATAAATAAAAATTAATTATATATTTGGCTAGGCCACACGCCTTTTACTGGAGCCTGTCAGTAAGAAAGTCCTCTGTTTTTGTTTTTTTTATTCATGATGGTTTGCCAGCAGTTTGGCACAATATAACCCTCTTGGGGTGGTACTAATATAAAACTACTAAATCCCCCCCACCCCCCAAAATAGAAAAATATGTCTTGGAAAACCAAGACATCCCTTTCCACAGCAATCCTCTCCAGCTCCTATTGGAGGATACCAGGGCATTACTAAGCCACCAGAAGGGACAAAAGCATCCTTTACCAAACCTCTGAAAGTGAACTTTCCCATGAATAACATGATTCCTCGACAATAATAGCACACTCTCTTTATATTGAGAGAATATTATATAATTGTCTGATTCATTGAATGTTTTATGACAAACTTGAACTCAAAGATTGGATGGATTGCCTCTTTTTCTATTACACTACAGTATACTAATCTAAGATAACCCTAAAGCAGCCCAAAAGGGACAAACCTAGCATATTCTCATGACAAATATTTGTATAATTGGTATTTTTGTTGTTTTATATGTTTTAATTCTTAAAAAAACATTTTTCTTTTCTTTTAACCTTGAATATCAGAAGAAACAGTTTGTCATTACTATAAAAAAGTCCCATGTTCACGATGAATGATCAGTTGAATATTAGTTTACATAGATTTTACTACTTAGTTTTTCATGTTGCTACAGTTTGTTGCTCGTTTTTTAGTGTAGTTCGGACTGTATTTCCCATGTAACCCTGATTATGTATATGTGCAGTAGGACTGAAAGATGCACTCACTGTGAAGCTGTTGTTGACATTCTTTGTGCTGGACTCTGCAACACTTGCATCTGATAGGTCCACTTCATCAAAAATGAGGGACTGCAGAGGAGAATGAGGATTGGATTTGACGAGTAAGAGGGTCCCCAGAAGCGAACAGACAAGACAAAAACACAGAAAACAATTATTTTCAACACACTGGGCTAAACTAAGCTTGGTTTTTTTTAGACTATGATATGAAGACACAGCTGCAGCAAGCAAAGCTTGAAGGAAACTTAAAACCATAATTTATATTTATATTTACATGAAAACAAATATCTTTGCTGCATACATCTAATAATACGTTGGAGCTTTAGGGCCACGCAAAAAAAAAAAAATTACATTGCCACGCAGAGAAAAACAAAATAAAAGCCATAAAATTACAAGAATAAAGTCGTAGTATTATGAGAATAAAGTTGAATAAAGTCTTAATATTACGAGAATAAAGTCGTACGAGACTTTTTTTGTTTTACAGCTGTCGTTAATGTTTTTTTCCACGAATCGGATCCACAACACGACCTGTCAATCAATCCAGTAGGCGTGTAGCAAATGACCAATCCAAAGCTAAATGAATTGTAATATTATCCGAGCTCCGACACAATAAAGCAGGGTTTACTGCATTTTAACTTTGGTAAAATGAAGAATGTTTGGTAAACTTTATTATTATTGACGCTCTTACTCAAAACGTGTTCCAATACTGCCACTTACTGTGGTGTTTTTGTACGCTGCTTCTTACGTCATGACCTTCATTTTTGTTTCTGTTGGAAAATGGCGCTCAGTGAGAGAAACTGTGTGCGTGCAGCGCTGTTAGAGGTCTTCAATGAATATGTCAGAAAGAGGCTGAAGAGACCCAGCGACTCACTTACAGGAGCATTTAGCTTCGGATTGGTCATTTGCTGACACGCCTACTGGATTGATTGACAGGTCACATCGTGGATCCGACTCGTGGAAAAAAAAATATAAACATAAACGAGAGCTGTAAAAAAAAAAAGTTTTGTACGACTTTATTCTCATAATTTCATGGGTTTTAATTTTTTTCTTAGGGTGGTAATGTAGTTTTTTTATTCTTAGTGTGGCCCTAAAGCTCTGCCGTATAATAATAACATGCTGTGTTTACAAAGTCAATCGGCCTTAGTCAGCTGTAGTAAGACAGAGTACATGTGTGAATGAGACGGAGGCAGGTGGAACAGTGAGGCTACAAGGAGCAGAGGTCACAAAGGTGCAGGACTTCGAGTACTTGGGGCCCACTGTCCATCAAAATGGGGAATGTGGTAAAGAGGTGAAACAGAGGGTGCAGGCAGGATGGAGTGGATGGAGAAAAGTTTCAGGAGTGATTTTAGACACAAGGGTGTCAGCAAAGGTCAAAAGAAAAGTTTACAAGACAGTGGTGAGACCAGCTATGTTGTATGGTCTGGAGGCAGAGGCACTGATAAAAAGACAGGAGAAAGAAGTGGAAGATGTTGAGGTTCTCCTTAGGAGTGACAAGGATAGATAAGATTAGGAATGAGATCATCAGAGGTACAGCACAGGTTGAACAACTGGGAGATAAAGTTAGAGAGACCAGACTGAGATGGTTTGGACATGTCCAGAGGAGGGACAGTGGGTATACTGGTAGAAGAATGTTAGAAATATAGCAACCGAAAAAGACAAAGAGGAAGGTCAAAGAAAGGTTATACTGGTTCAGTAAGAGAGGACATGGAGGTAGTTGAAGTGCAGATAGAGGTTGTAGAGGACAGAATAAGATGGAGGAGGATGAATCGCTGTGATGACCCCTGAAAAGGGAATAGCTGAAAGAAGACAAATAATTTTACAAACTGAAAGTTCTTTAGCTCTTTCGCTCTTTTTTCTTATAATTTCAAAATTACTTTGACTGTTAAAACTCAACAACCTTGACATAATGTTTTTGTGGCCTGAAAACAGTTATTTAGTTATTTCAAAATTTGAACGTCTTAGCTTCATGAATTGCAAAATACAGACATTTTACAGATTTTATGGGTGAATCAAGATCTATCAATACTGAAGACACATGAAAATCAATAATTTTGTGGTGGGGTTGACAGAAGAACCCCACCTCTTAACCCCCACCCTATAGAGACCGATATCCACCTGTCATGAGCCTGGTTCAGCTGGAGGTTTCTTCTTGTTAAAAGGGAGTTTTTACTTTCCACTGTCACCTGCTGCACCATGCCTGCTAAGGGTGCACACTTTAATACAATCTGTTGGTTTCTTTCAAGAAAGCTTTTAGATAGCTAACATACTGTCTATTGAATTTGATTTTATTGTAATACGTACTTTGAATTATGTGATCAGAGTACATGTACATTGGTTTTGACAGCCCATTCTGTACAGTTGTACATTTGTTAAATTCACGACTGAACCATTTCATCAAGTTCCACTGGGCTGAGCTCATGTGACAGGACCTTCTCTGTAGCAGGACCAAGACTCTGGAACGAGTTACCTCTGCTTGTCAGACAGGCCCCCTCCCTCTCAGTTTTCAAGTCCCGTTTAAAAACTCACTACTATTCAATAGCTTTCAACACAAGGTGATCTGTGTTTTGATCCTGTATGCTCTACACTGGTTTGTCGTCATTATCTGCATCGTTTTTCGTCTATATTCTGATTTACCTCATTTTGTATTTTGCTTTGTGTGTTACCTGTTGTTTTGTCTGTACAGCACTTTGGTTGGCTTTGTAGCTGTTTTAAGTGCTTTATAAATAAAGTGGTATGGTATGGTATGGTATGGTATGGTATGGTATGGTATGGTATGGTATGGTATGGTATGTGAGTCGGATAGCCATAAGCATAACAAAGTTGGGAACTATCAAAGGGTTTCCTGAAGGTTTAGTATAACACCGCAGAACTGATATCCTTGTTTGTTCAGGATTGCTAACTCTTCGTGCAGTGAAACACTCAAACCCTCACAAATTCCCCCTCCAGGTCTATGTTCAAGTTTATACACTGGTGATACGTTCTGCAATTTATTTGATATTAAACACAAACACAATGCTGTAACTAAAAATCTGGAACTTTGACATTTTAGTCTAAAGGGTTCCATTATATTTACTTTTCTGTGCCCCCTTAACACTGTTCAAGGTGACAGAAGTTGAGGCGGACTAAGGCCTGTTCTAGTGTAACAGCTAAAAAATATAAAAAAGGGGAAACTTTACAGCAAGAGAATATTTCTAAATTGCACTAGCTCTTGCTTGAGCTATGCAACTGAAAAGTAGATTTATTTTTGCTGGAAAAATATGACCTATAGACTTTACTTACCTACTGAAGTTTTTAAATTCTGACTGTTTATATGTAGAATTACCATATGTTTTTGTTTTAACCATGTCCAATCAACTGGTTTTGCAGTAACAGTTTTCTCTGTTTTAGTCTTTTTAAAAGTTTTAACTTTTCTAAATGGCTGTAAGATTGATATGTCAGCAGCACTCCTGCAAAACTTTAAACTTTTTTGATGTAATCAAACTTTTGAGTGGATATGGTGAGCTGTAGTGTTTTATATACTAATATTTGGAAAATAAATTGTTTATGTTAGTTATTGGAGTTGGGTCTTTTTATATGTTCAGGAAAATTCTTATTATTTTATTAACAAGGTCCTAATAATGAGAAGAGAAAAAATATTAACACAGAAACATGTTGGACAAGAAAAATGAGTCCAGTTTCTTTTGTCTTAAGAGGATGCCTAGTTTGTTCAGACTGCCAGGAAATGTGATTTACCACAAAACCACTCCACAACACTCAACGGAAGCCAGAGCTTTGCTTCCCTGCTGTTTTGTCTCTGTGGCTAAATGAGAATGTGCGAGTGACATGATGGTGAATGTTATTGTGTTTTTGTTTTATCGATTTTCTGTGTAGTAGAAGAACTGGAGCCCAACAGCTAGGAGAGCCAGTGTCTACAAACAGGAATACAATATCCTGACAGGGCTGTGATGCAAAAGGCATACAGCTAAGCTCAAAGGGCTGCAGGACAAAAATGCTATGTTGTCAAAGGATTGCCATCTGACTGTGTGTGTGTGTGGGGGGGGGGGGGGGGGGGGTGCGTTGCTCTTGCTGTCAGAGGGAATGCCCCATCAACAACCCTCTCCTCAGGCCTGGCTGGAAAGGCATCCAAGTCAGCACATGTTATTTGTGTATCTCAGTACTTCAATACATGCCTATTAGTACCTTTTTTTTTTGGCTGCTCCCTGCATTAGGGGTCACCACAGTGAACTACATCACACCCACACTTGCCCCCACCCTCATTCGCCCCACCTTGGGCCCATGAGCAAGGCCCTTAACCCCCCATCTGCTCCCTAAACAGGTCTCTCTTGAAAATGAGTTATAGTGGCTCAATGAGACTACCTGTATAAATAAAGGGTAAATAAATGAAAAAAAAAAAAAAGACTTGGCAGTTATTTTTACGCCGGATGCCCTTCCTGACACAACCGCAGACACTGAGCTACCACAGCCCTCTGTGTGGAGCAGAGAGCTGCTATCTAGGACACCGGGAGGAGCAGATGGTGGGGGTTAAGGGTCTTACTCAAGGGCCCAGAGTGGGGCAAATGAGGGTGGGGGCAGGTGTGGGTGTTTCACCTACCTCACCCACATTTTTTGATGTAGTCAGTACCGGGTCTTGAACCGGTGATCTTCGATCACAGGCCTACCTTCTCCAACCTCTGCGCCACCACTTCCCTCTAACATGCCTATTAGTGCATATGAAAGTGTGTATTGAGTGGCAGCTAAGAGAGTGTAAGTAGGAAAAGCGCACCAACATTAATACCAGGCAGTTAGTTTAGTCTTTGTTGGTTTATGGCTGTCACGTTTTTGATAACTTTTAGCAGCTAATTTTTAACAAACTTCTCACTCATCATTATGCACCAGTTGTCCTCTTACTAATACATGTGCGTTTTTGTGTGTATAGTGATACAAGCTGTAAGACAAACACCATGAGTAGGGGTATTATCTGACTGGACTGCGGCTGCTGACTTGACAAACGGCATTCATGAAGGAGTCTCCAAAATGTCTCAAAATGTCTCAAAATGTTCATAGTGCGTCTACATTTCTCTGAGACCTAAAGT